AATAATAAGCAGGAAATGGCTTTGCAGAGGAGTACAGAGGAACGACTGCTGGCTTGGGAGAGAGGTAGCACACATTTTAATCCCAATGCCACTGAAAATTAGCTTTTTAACTTTTGGGAAATCACAATTTCTACTTCTGTTTAAAGTGGAATGGGGCAGACTTAGATGATGTGGTTTGATTCTTCCCAGGATGTGATGCTCCCAGAATAATAAATAGGTGTTCTAAGTATTCAAAAAGGGGCTCTGGTGGCGTAGTGGGTAAGGCACGTAACTACTGACCAGAAGGTTGGCAGTTTAAATCCACCAACTGCTCCACAGAAGGAAGATGAGGCAATCTATTTCCATAAAGATTTACAGCCTTGGAAACCCAATGGGGGTCACTATGAGTCAGAATCAACTCGATTGCAGGGGTTTGCTTTTTTGGTTACGTATTCAGAAGCCAAGAAACAGGCTTAACCATAGGAAGAAACTCCCCATTCATATTCCTTTGATTTCTTTCTCAAAAAGTGTACAAGTTAGCTTGAAGCCTTGATAAATTTCAAGAGCCACTCCCAGCTGCTATTTCATCTGCCTTTAAGAAGTAATTAAAAAAAAAAAAAAAAAAGATGCAATAAAGTGATTCTGTTATAAGGAAAACTCCCCAATTAGTTCTGGTCAAATCTTGTTTCTGTAGTAGATGAGAAAGCTCCACGTCCACCTCAGCCAACAAACCTTCCTAGATATATTTAGGCCATTCAAGATTAGGTTCTTACAGCTGGTTATCTTCCTCAGGTGATACAAGTACTGTGCACACTGATACAATGGACTAATGCCTCTTATATTACATTGAGCCGTTTATTGGGCTTCCACCACAAAGATAAACATATAAACATATCTTTATAGAACTAATAAGATAAATGAATCCAGACAGTATAATAAAAGACCACACAGAACTGAACAGTGCCAGTAAGCCAGACAAAATGAAGAAGCAGTAGAAAGATGCTGGCAAGGACCAGCAAACTTAATGCAACACCTGGCATGTTGTCCCAGGTCACTTTAAGAAACGCACCTGCTCACTCTAGTCTGTCTGGTCATCACTTACACTGCAGTGTGTGTTTTGCACACTGCATACTGATGTCGCCTCATCAGTTACAGTCATGATTCCTTCCAATATTCCTAGAAGCTAGCTAGCATCATTCCAATTTTACAGCGACACTCTGATTTTACATGACTATCATTTGCAAGGATAAGCATTAAGGTTTATGACTTACATGATGAACATGAGTGCTTTTTCACTTTTCAACAAAAATCCCAATATATTCATGAATATAACTGCTATGGACCAAAAGTGTCATTTAGCTGATGACATGTTCACTGATGCCACCAGTATCAAATTTCTTTTAGATTTCTGATTTCAGACTTACTGGGGACACACAAGAAGACAATAGAAGAGAGTTGAAAAAAAACTCAGCACCAGCAGCTCTCAGGTCCGCTCACTGTAATGTTACCCTGCAGAGTATCCCAATGGGATGTCTCTCAGCCTCAGTACTGCATAGTGAAGAGCTGGTGACAGTCACAAGCAGCCCCATGCCAACTGCTGGAC